GATATTATTTAAAGGACATATTTTCAATTGGTAGGTTTATTATAAAAGATAGTTTTTCGTTCGGATTTCGTTCTACATAATGACCCCATCTCTTGACTAAACAGAGATACCTGGGCCTGCGCTTGCATCATCGCATTGTGTTAACGCCGTAATTATTTTCTATGCTGACTACGCAGGCATAAATTTTATAGCATTTCGCCATTTAGAAAATCTGACTTGCCTATGCGCTTTCAAATGTTCTCCTTTTGTTTCACATCTCTTTTCAGGAGTACACGAAACCAATCATTCGGCGCAAGGAGACAACTGACCAACTTGCTCGCATATCACTTGTCCGCCGTATTCTCTACATCTGCCTTAATGTTGGCCTCCGCCTGCTTCATCCCTTCATGCCTTTCCTTACTGAAGAACTCTTCCAGCGTCTTCCTCGTTCATCGCAAGAGAAAGAACTTGCACCTAGCATCTGCATTGCTCCCTATCCCTCTCGGGCAAAGGTTAGCTTCTAATATTGATGTGAATTAACTATTATAAAGACGTATTAGGAATGAATTACTTCTTATCTTTGATATGACAATTATTAGCGAAAATTTATGACTACTGCAATTGGATATGAAAGTGGGAACTATGAGTTGATGATGGTTACTGATTATGACCTTTATATCGGCTTGGTTCCCATGTTGTCTCTTCAATTTTCTGCTCTATCCGCTTCCTAATCCATACAAAGCGTTTTATTATTTGCCTTATAACACAGCCTTCACTGGCACCATTGGCGAACTATGGACGCATCCCTTTCAAACAGGGACTGGAGACCCCATTGGCACTGATGCCAGAGTGCCTCCTACTGGCTTTATTTACCTTAGACGGGTGGTAAAAAATGAGCTGTGCAACGGGTTTGAATAGTTTAGGCTAGTCTTTTTTGCCTCGGTTTCCCTTTTGCTACTAGAACTTATCGTAACAACAGTCAAGTTGAAGTTGAAACAACATTACCTGTGTATTATCAACTCTTCAGTTTGACGTTTATCGCGACGCCACCGGAGTGGAAGTTGACATAAGACTCGCTTTTGCTCTGAAGCACCGTATACGCTCCATGATTGGCCTTTATCGCATCCCGCCAGGCCAGCTGCCAGACATGTTAATACATGCCCCTAAACCGGTTCTTGAGACACTTCAGCGAGGCCAATACCTGGATGATTTAATGGAACCTCTAGCCAAGGCCAAGTTGGTTCAAGCAAGCCATCAACAAAATATTCGCAAGTTTCACTTTATCTCCACCTGCATATCTGCTTATATATCTTATATTCTTTGGTATTTTACAACTGGATATACTAAAAAAATGGTGGCTTGCATAATGCAAGTTAATTTATATCCTTGAAAGATAATTCTGTTTTCTTTTTAAAGATTTTTATTTTTTCGAATTAAGTATTGTTTTTCGTGTCCACCAGTATATCAGTAATATGAGATGTATTCACACAATTTCGTTTAAGCTGATGAAGGACTGGTAGAAAAAGAATTTTCCTACAATGATATGAGTTGAACTGACGTTTCCATTGAATTTCGCATAGCCTTGCTTTCCCAAAAGTTGTTCTCGTTATATTACTGATTTACTGGTAGACACGAAAAACCTTGCCTCCTTCTCTTTGGAAAGTATAAAGCCAAATCTGTATAATGATTTAAGTCGTTTGACTACGTCTAACCCATTAATAAATGAAATA